GCAACTTCCCTTCAGAATCTCCCAAAAGCACAGTGTCATCAGCAAAGAGCAACTGTGACAACACCCACTTTGTGTTAGATTCTTTATCTTTTAACCCCACACCTCTTGCCAACACCCGAGCATTCACTTCTCTTACAACTCATCTACATATATATATAGTATATATATATATATATATATATATATATATATATATATATATTATATATATATATATATTATAATATTATCTGGGGCCCCATATTAGTTATCAAATGGAATCATGTAAATTTATGTACTTGGTAAAATTATTTAGGTTAGGTGTAACAGTGGGATATGTGAAGCACTTGGTCACAGCCAGTTTCTGGTTAACACACTGACCCTCTAAGCGTATGTCACTTGACCTACCTTATGTTAGGTCACCCCTCTCCCACTGCAGTCACTAGCAGCGGGTCTACAGCTCAAGGTGCATTGCTTGAAAGTCCTATGTTGTAACAGAGCCGTATTCCCGTAGATCATACTTAAGGTGCTCGTGAGGGACTTCTCTGTATATGACATACCATGTCAACTATCTGATATATTCACCGGTGATCTGAAAACCTCCGGGTAATAACTAGGAACTTTATTTGTATGACTGGAAATGAAACCTTAGTCCTGTACATTGTTCTCTATATATAACTGCGCACTCGTAAGATACGAGAGAAAATCTTAATATATCATTATTGTTATGTTCTAAGGAACAATATATTAAAGGTCATAAATTTTTACTTGTGATGTTATGATTCCCTATGAAAAACAGTCAGAAATTAATCAATTTGTTGCACCTCGACATCCTGTAAAGTGAACAGGAGGATAAGAGGGCAATAATATACATATACATGGAGGATGGTGGTAAGCCGGCGGTTTATTCAAGGGTCAGTAGGCCTGTTGCAGTGTTCCTTCTTTCTTATGTTCTTAAGTAACTCTTGGGATAAGATTCCCGTTCAGTGGCTGTTCCTATCATGTATCTCTAGTTTACAATATTGTAGACGCACACTGCGGTTATTGGTGATTTAAAGAAAACTCACCTGTTTTGTGTGAGGCATTGCCGCTGTATGTAGCATTGGGACTGCCGCTTATTAAGGAAAGAAAATAAGGAGAGTATTGCCAAAATAATTTATTACCAAAATGCCCATATAGATACAAAGGAGTTATCCGTATTGCAATATACAACTATATACATACTTCCATGCACTTAAACACTACCTGATGCAAAAGAAAATCTTTTCTACAATAGACAGCAACTGGGATTGTGAAGAATGTATTGGTAGTCGAATAGTGAACAGAGAGAGAAAGAGAGAGAGAAAGAAAGACACAGAGAGAGAGAGAGCATGAAATCTTCTCTTGAAACAAATAATTGCGAGTCCAGAAAAATGCCTTAGTGTGTATATATATGTGTATATGTTATTCTCATTTCACAGCGATAATTGATGATCAAACGAAAGGACATGCACATAGGCGGCAGGTTAATACTTGCCTCGTTTAATCTCCTAGAGGTTAAATTGGTTAATGATTGTAAGTTGAACCAAGCTATGCAAGCACTGATAGGCAACACTTCACGGCTGACATAATTCCACAATTATTAATATATTAGTTGTGAATTTATTTTCGTATTTTCATAATAACTTATTTCTTAATGACTTCTTACAAATAACCCGAAAATTGTTTGTATTAAAAGATATAACATTATCCATTCCCTGGCATAAGTGAACTATGTTCAAGCATTAAACTGCTGTGGTTATCCAACCCGTTCTCACTACAATATCAAACAAAAACAAATCTTTTAGAATTTTCGTGAATTCTACTTAAAATAATGTTTAGTCTGCTATTACCATTTAGCGCTAAGTCCCTGTGTAGTAATTTTGTTACCTCGGAATATTCAAAGATAATCCAGAGGCTGAGTGTGTTGGACGCTAATATTTTGTGGGGAAGCAGGTACCCTTAACAATGTATTGCGGAAAGAGGGTTGTAGGTATTATGGGAAGAGGGTGAAGTCCGTAAGATTTGCTGGTAGGGTGGGAGGTGAAAGTTATGTGGCTAGAGGTGGGGATACGATGGTGTTAGAAGGCTTAGGCAATAAATTTTAGGGGAGATGGTACCCTGAGGTGTGTGGAGGTGGGGCGCTTAGTGTGACAGCACTTGTGTGGGGGAGGTGAGGTTCTAAACATATTAAGATTTATTTTCAAAATGTGTGTATTGCTGGGGAAATCCTTGTGTTTACGATGAGGAAGAAAGTTGGGTCCCTAAAGTAGGAAGAAGACGGTAGACCACAAATATGGAGGACGAGAAGTATGGTCGAGGGGTATATAACACCAGATGGTTAGGTTTGTTAATTTGGCTTAAAGGCTATCAACTACTCCAAGGGTCATTATGGCCTGCAGGTCACTTATTCACCGACAATCAAAAATGTTTTCATAATTAAAACGGGGATTAAAATAAACTCTAAGCTTATATATACAAAAAAAAAAACACCTCACAAAGAACAGTATATATAGTTGACCTGGAAAAAATTTCTCGCATTCCTGTGTTGTGAATGAAACTGTCTGAGAATCATTTATAAAATATTAGTTATTATTGCTGCATTCATTATTTTTTTTAACATTTTTAATTTATTTATTCCAGTATAGTACCCGAAAATCTATTTTCTATCTAAAAATGAAAATTATTTCATATCTCATTTTTTTAAAATTTCCAAACCATTTTAATCAAATATTACAGCAGAGTTTATGAAATTATTGCAGATTTGAGTTTTCAACTGATTACTACAAAAGTATATTGAATATGAAGAAGCCAATGAGCGTTGTCTTAAAATTAAAAGGTAATATAGTTCAATTGAATATCTCTTACAAAGACAAGCACAATTAGAATAACTCATTCATCCTGTTATTTTCACATTTAATACTGACAGCATGATTTCAACTACTTTGTAATGCCCTTTGTCAACCATTATATTATTTTTAAAAAATTGGTTTGACGTCCGATTCGAACAAACTTTATGGGTAGGTATGTCTCTCTCTCTCTCTCTCTCTCTCTCTCTCTCTCTCTCTCTCTCTCTCTCTCTCTCTCTCTCTCTCTCTCACTCACTCACTCACTCACTCCCGTAATTTCTCACATTATCAAGGAGCTGTAAAATCAGCAGAACAGCAGAAGGCTTATAAGGCTGAGATATCACCCCACATACGACATAACTCCCGACCCATTATGATGCGGGTGAAATGATGGAGGACTTGTCAAATATAGCTTAAATTTACATAATATAATATTTTTTTATTTCTACAAGTGCATGTACAAGGTATACAGGCTTATGTGACATCAATAACATATTACCGTATAGAAAGCCGTTTCTTAAGCAGAGCATTTCGGGAAAATTAGGTCAGTTTTTCTCCCAGAATGTGACCCACGTAGGTCAACTAACACCCAGGTACCAATTTTACTGATGGGTAAACACCAGACAGCAGATATCTTCAGGAAACACGTCCTAATGTTTCCAACCGTACCTGGGGATCGACCCCCGGACCTCAGGGTATGAGCCGAGTGCACTAGCAATTCACATTAAAATCAAAACTAATTTTTATTAATCTTGATTCAGTTATGTTTCTCTCAACCACAGATCTGTTTGATATAACTTTCTTGGTCTTTTGAAATCAAGTGAATGGTTAAAATCTCTCACATGAATAAACAGAACATTAGAATTTTTGATAATTTTTTAAAGTGAATCTTGTAGAAGAAGACCATCAACATTTTTTAAGACATTTTTAAACAAAATTTTTTATACTATATCAATATTTTTTAATATAACTTTGATTTTAAAATTCGTAAGTAGAGAAAGTATTTCAAAAAGGTTTTAAACATATTCTTGGTTAAATATGATTGTTCGTCTTTTTTTTTTTTTTGACTAGTAAAATGTAATTCTGGCAGTTTTAAAGGATTTATCAATTAAGTAATTTGGGTTTTTAGATCATTGTCTATTTCCTATATCTTCAGGATTTATTCATCTATGAACTCTGGGTTACAAATTCCCAAAAATCTCTAAAACATTGATGGAAATGCAGGAAATTTAGCCAAAAAGTTGCATCTAAAAAACTTGATACAGTAAAAATAATTCTGATTCTAAACTTCCCCAAAAAATGCCGACGGCTGAGCGTCAAGATTCCCTTTAAAAATATAGAAAATTTTATTATGAACAAATTGGCAAAAACCTTGAACTATGATTACAACAACATACATTCAGCGTTAGAATTAGACAAGAATCCTATGCTCTAAATGTCCATATGCTAGATTTTAATCATCCAATTGAGTTTCACAAAGCCGAGAAAGTTGTATCAAGCAGATCTATGGTCAGGAGAAATATAATTGAATAAAAATTCATGATTTTTTCATGTTAATATAATTATTGGTTTATAATTATGCAAATAAGATTCACTTACAATTAATAAAATTTAGCAAGATTTTAAGCCCTTTTTGAAAAGTCAATCATCCCATCTGTATCATAATGGGAGGGATGTAATGTCTGATGTGACTGTCAGATGATATCACAGCCTCATAAGCCTTCAACTGTTCTATGATTTTTACAGTTCCTTGAGAATTTGACAAATCATGATAACGCCTGGAATTTCACTATTTTTCTCGTAGTGGTTGTTTTGTATATTGTGATATCACAACTAAATATATTTTAGATAACTTTTACAATAATTTAATAATAAACACAATGAAACATATTTTTTTCATTAGGTTCAGAATGATTTTTGCGAAATTATTGCACACACAAATTTTCGTTTGCCTTATTCGGTAAGAAGAGCGTTGCTATTTAAGCCAAAATTGCCAGTTTTACCTATTCTGCACGACGCATATTATATATATATATATATATATATATTATATATATATATATATATATATATATATATATATATATATATATATATATATATAATATATATATTTATATATATATATATATATAATTTATTTCTTAACACATCGACCGTTTCCCACCTAGGCCGGGTGACCTGAAAAATAAAGAAACACTTTTATCATAATTCATTCCATTACTGTCTTGCCAGATGTGTAAATAATTTACACTTACAAAAAACACTACAGCATATCAACACTCCTCCTTCAGACCACAAACACCTTGTTGAATAACCCGGTCCTCTAATACGAAGGAATCGGAAATAATACTGTATTATATTCCGTCATAGGCACCAACTATAAACCAACTGAATTCCTTCCCTCGGACCAGGAGCTTTATCAGTAGATTTGTTCTTTCCCCACCTCCTATTTTTTCGTATTAAAGGCCTGGGTTAGTGTAGACGGTCGAGCGTCGGACTGTCAGTTTACCGACCTTGATTCGAGCCCACGTTCACTCTTCTGAATATTTAATGCATGTATTATAATGCACAGTGAAATCACAGCTTTAGCTCCACTAAGTTCATTTATCAAGGACTTCCTTAAGATTCGAATGCAGAGTGTTATGCAAAGTGCCTGGCGTGCCCACATGTTTACCCACTTGAGACACATTAGGCTGGTGGCTAAAGCTCTCGCTTCACACGGCGATGTCTGGGTTCGACTCCCAGAGAGGGTAGAAACACTGGGCGTGATTCTTTACACCGGTTGTCTATGTTCACGCATCAGTAAAATGGGTACCTGGGTGTTAGTCGACTTGTGTGGGTCGCATCCTGGGACAAACCTGACCTAATTTTCCGGAAATGCTCTGCATAACGAGTGGCTTTCTATATGGTAATATGTAACTGATGTCAGCTATGGTCTGTATACCTTGTACATGTACTTGTAGAAATAAAGATATTATATTATTATTATTATTATTATTATTATTATTATTATTATTATTATTATTATTATTATTATTATAAGTATCACGGGAATGATAGCGGTATGATATCCTGAGTAAAATATTTAAACACATCAAATTATGAAGTTTGGCAAGAGTTCCAGATATAAAATATGTAAATTTTAGCACGGATCATCGTAAATCGAGGATAAATCTAACGCGTAAGTTTCATAAAACTGTGTAAAAAATGACACACTAAGAGCGCACGATACCAAATATAAAAACATGAAAATGACGATTTAAGCATTCAGAACCTAAATTATCTTTACTCAATAACGAGACCCTTGCTTATAGAGACTTATAGGAGGAAACGACATCAGGCACTGGTAATACATGCTATACATGGATAAACATTTTAAAACTTAAGATCAGGTAACAATTATAATTTCAAACATACTAGAAATTTTACTCTAATCCATGCTTTAAGTTCAAAAAATTATCGGTGTGTTCATTTACAAAGAGATTCAGTTTGAAATAACCAGTATTCGTGTTTAATGCCTTATCTTACAGATGTTGAATCAAACAAGATGCAGGAATTATTCGCAGATTCGCAAGGAGATGTAACCAGTAAGTTCTGTCTTTCTCCAAATCTCTAGCAAATATTTCTCAGGTAATTCAGTGTGTTGGAATAATTGCACTGTAAAATCTTTAGTCATAAAGATGCACCCCACTCACCTCCAAGCTGTGTTTATAAAAGACTTTGAATATAACTATTATTAGGGTCAAACCATTAAATCTTTAGCAGTAAGATTGGCACAACAAATGTGTTATATAAACCTAATAGACCTCTTTAGTTATTTTCAATATTCTCAAAGCATTAATTAGCAATATGTTATGGTTTTTTTTAACAAAATCGTGTTTAGCAGTTAGAGTACTTTTTTTTAATTTATTGTAATAATTTTTGTTGTTATAATTTTTATAATTATAATTATTATTAATATAATTATTATTATTAGTAGTAGTAGTAATTCTATTTTATTGTTATTATTATTATTATTATTATTATTATTATTATTATTATTATTATTATTATTATTATTATTATTATTATTATTATGGAGATTCCTCAGCAGCAGTTATGACTCCACAAAACTGATGGAGCTCCCAAAGAGCAGCTGATAACTCGAGGTTGTTCAGATTTAATTGAGGTAAAAATTCGATGAACTCTAAGGAGACTTATGCGCATTAGTGACTCGACGAAGAAGTGGAAGAGGAGATGCAGACTCCAAAATGAAATGGAAGAGGAGGTGAAGACTACAAAGAAATGGAATAGAAGTTGGAGCCCTCTCGGAAATGAAGGAGAATATGAAGACTGAAACAGGAAATGTGGGATCTTGTTAAAGGTGTTGTCCATATGCAGGTGAAAATGTCGCCTTAACACCTCACCTGTGGATGCTAAATGAAGAGCTTACATGATCTACCTTAAAACCTGTGTTAAGGTTTTCAGAATGCTGTGTAAATGATAGGAGGTAAATAGAGCAATTCCCCTCACAGGCCTACATGAGATCCCAGCTCCCACTAGTGTCTCAGCACACACACACAGATAAGGAAGGAAGGGGGCTAGTGTCACACTAGAGTGCCAGGCTTCATCATAGCCTCAGGTGAGAAGATATATTTGGCTTCTGGGGACCCATGCTCGTCGGTGTGAACCACAGAGTTTGAGAGGGTTAAGGATGTGGTGACTGTGGGGGATGTGACTCCTCGTGGGGATCCTATTTTGAAATTCTTTTGGTAAGGAGGCGGTGGTGGAGAGCGGACAGTGGAATAGGGAGAGTGGTGGGAGAGGATTTGGGCACTACTGTTGCTTCTCAACGTTGATGTGTCCTGGTAGTTAGTTGTACCCAGTACGTTCATGCCGTTCTCAACTGCTAGGTCGTGTCCTCTAGTGCCTCGTCTGATGGTGCAGAAGTCTGGCAAGGCTGACGACACTGATGTGGGAGGAGCCGGGTTGGAATAAGGCCCCAAATCACTGTAGGAGGCCCGCCGCCCATTAGCTACTGGGGCGTAGTCTCTCCCATGGTAGTCCACGAAGGGAACGTAACCTCGTCCTCCTTCGCTATCCTGTGAGAGTTGACGCTCAGTGTTAGTATTTTTATATACCTGATAGTTGTTGCAATATTACATGTTTCTTGAAATTAGAGAAATACACTTTCACTCATCCGTGCATGCAGTTGTGTAAGCGTGTGTCCTAGCACTCGTGGTTGGGTACGCGTGCAAACACACACACACACACACACACACACACACACACACACACACACACACTAGGTGAGTACTCACACAATCACTCCTGAAAGCTATCAAAATTAGTGTAAATAGCATTTACTAGCACTTAATAACATTTACTAAGGTGTAGGTGAGTTAACTTAGGGCATGACGGCAGGCTGTGTGGGGCTCCACCAGTACACACACAAACGAACGTGCACACGCAAGTACACTAGTGTTTTTTCAGGCACTTGTAGAAGCAGAGAGTAGACTTAGTATCATTGATAGGTAGATTGGCTAAGGAGGAGTAAGCAAGGAGGGTTATTTTAGAGGCACACACACACACTCTCTCTCTTTCACACACACACACACACTACGTAGCTAGGAATCTATGAAGAAGGTATTTTAGGAAGTAGGATAAACAAAGAAAGAACTAGCATGTAGGCGGTTGGGCCAGCATCAGGTCAAAGTCAGGCCACAGAACCACATGTACACGCGGACCATGCAAACATTCTGAGCTCTCATACGCACGCAAAACGCATACACATGTTCACGCGCACACTCAAACCCAAAACTAACACTAACACAAGCACACACGTACACAGCCTACTAACCGTTGGCGGCCTAAATAAACAGGAACCACCCTCGCATTCACACATACACAACCCCTCCTATATATACACTGGCATATATATATACACACACACAAATACACACACATACACACACAGGAGGACAGGAGGGTCAGGGGAGACATGATAACATACAAAATAATGCTTGGAATAGACAAGGTGGACAGAGACAGGATGTTACAGAGAGGGAACACAGAAACGAGGGGTCACATTTGGAAACTGAAGACTCAGACGAGTCACAGAGATGTTAGGAAGTACTTCTTCAGTCACAGAGTCGTCAGGAAGTGGAATAGCCTAGCAAGTGATGTAGTGGAGGCAGGAACCATACATAGCTTTAAGACGAGGTATGACAAAGCTCAGGAAGTAGAGAGAGGACCTAGTAGCGATCAGTGAAGAGGCGGGGCCAAGAGCTGAGTCTCAACCCCTGCAACTACAATTAGGTGAGTACAATTAGGCGAGTACAATTAGGTGAGTATACATACATACACACACACACAAATATATATATATATATATATATATATATATATATATATATACACACACACACAAACACACATATAGACACACACACACAGTGAAGAGGCGGGGCCAGGAGCTTGGACTCGACTCCTGCAACCTCAACTAGGTGAGTACACACACACACTCGCTCACACTCTCCCACTCTGTCACTCTCTCTCGCTGCCCCACTCTCCCACTCTTTCTTACTGTCTCTCTTGCCCACTCACTCTCACTCTTGCTGTCTCACTCTCCCACTCTCTCGCTCTCACACACACTCTCTTACTGTCTCACTCTCTCTCTCCCTCTCCTCCTCTTCTTCTTCTTCCTCCTCCTCCTCCTCCATTCTCTCCTCCTTCTCCCCCTTACTTCTCCCTCTCCCCTCCCTCTCCCCCTTTTGCCTTTTCCTCTCTTCCTTTCCTCCCTCTCTCTCTTTCATTTCTCTCTCGCCTTTCTATTCTGTTATCTCCCTCCCCCCATTCCCCTTTCTCTTTTCCTTCCTCACCCCCTCTCTTCCCCTTTTCTCTCTCCCTCTACCCCCCTTCCCACTCTCTCTCCGCCTCCCCAGCACTCTCCCTCTCCCACCTTCCTCCCTCTCCCCATCTCTCTCTCACTTACAACTCCCCCACCCCCACACACATGAGCACACACACACACGTGCACACAAACAGCAGACACCCACACTACAACACCTAACCCATTAAAAAAAATGGGGGCTCAGAGAGAAAATCGAGAGCTCAGGGACCAGGAGAAAGATGGTTCTGGTAAGGAAGAATGGATGGAAGAGCATTGTAAAAAGATGGAATAAGAGTGGGAGAGCAAACTAGGTGAGCTTTCTGTGAAAATAGAGAAGAGGATGGAGGCAGAAAAGAAGAAATGGGAGTCACAAACTAAAGTAGAAGTCAGGATATGGACCCTAGAATATGAGGTAATTATGCTGAAGTGAGTTACTAGGCTAATGCCCAGAGGAGACATGGCATCTGAACCAGGTACACTCTCATTGAATGAGGAGCCCAGTGGAAAGGAAGGAGACAAGACTAATGCTAAGGCCCTATCAGTTCACCAAGCAAAGCTGTGGAATGAAGGGGAAGAGCTGTTGGGAACAGGGATAGCAGTATGTGAGCAGGGAGAAAGTAGAGAAGGTGACAGGTCCCATGCAGAGGCAAGATCATACCACCAAGAGTTATAGTAAAAAATAAGGGAGACAATAATCATGTACAAATAGGACCCAAAGACACAGAGGGATAAGGAAATTGAGAAGTCAGTGTTTATTCAAGGGCTCCAGGTGAGCAAAGGACACTTAATGAAAGATGGCAGAAAGAAAAACAAGAGATTGAACATTTCATCAAAGAAATAGTCTAGGAGGACATGACTGAGATAGGATACAGAGGAGAGAGAGACTACATAATATGAACACTTCAGGCTGGAGGTCCCAAGGTGGTAATTGCAGTGATGTATAACCCACCACAGAACAGCAGGAGGCCAAGGCAAGAGTATGATCAGAGTAACGGAGCGATGGTTGACACACTGGCTGAAGTGGCCAGGAGGGCTCATGTGAGCAGGGCAAAGCTGCTGACTGTGGGTGACTTCAATCATAAGGAAACTGACTGGGAGAACATGGAGCCACATGGGGACCCAGAAACGTAGAGGGCTAAGATGGAGGTGATACTGGAAAACCTCATGTACCAACTCGTAAGAGACACTACCAGAGAGAGAGAAGAGGATGAGCCAGGAAGACTGGACCTAGTTTTCACCTTGGATAGTGCAGATAAAGAGTACAACATATATGAAAGACCCCTCGGGGCCAATGGCTATGTGGTTTTTGACCTTCAAATACATAGCAGAGCTACAAGTCCAGAGAGAAGCATAGTAGAGTTACAAGTGGAGAGGAAGGGCAGGACGAATGAAGCCAAACAACAAGAGAGGGAACTACACAGGCATGAATAATTTCCTGCATGGAGTTCAGAGGGACAAAGAACTGGCAGGGAAATTAGTAAATGGGATGATGGAATATGTGACAGCAACATGCAAGGAAGCTGAGGAGAGGTTTGTACCCAAGGGTAACAGAAATAACAAGAAAGCCAAGAAGAGCCCTTGGTTCACCCAAAGGTGTAGAGAGGCAGTAACCAAGTGTGTTAGAGAATGGAAAAAGTATAGAAGGCAACGAACCCTGGAGAATAAGGAGAGCAGTCGAAGAGCCAGAAATGAATATGCACTAGAAGGGAAGTCCAACAACAATACGAAAATGACATAGCAACGAAAGCCAAATCTGACCTGAAGCTGTTGTACAGCCACATCAGTAGGAAAACAACAGTCAATGAGCAAGTAATCAGGCTCAGGAAGGAAGGAGGGAAGATCACAAGAAATGGCCGGGAAGTATGTGAGGAGCTCAACAGGAGATTCAAAGAAGTGTTCACTGAGGAGACAGAAGGAACTCCAGAAAGACAGAGAGGTGGGGTACACCATCAAGTGTTGGACACAATACATACAACCGAGGAAAAAGTAAAGAGGCTGTTAAATGAGGTAGATACCTCAAAGGCCATGGGGCCAGATAACATCTCTCCATGGATCCTGAGAGAGGGAGCAGAGGCGCTATGTGTACCACTAACAACAACAACACATCTATCGAAACAGGGCGACTACCTGAGATATGGAAGACAGCAAATGTAGTTCCAAATTGAAAAAAAAAGAGACAGACACGAACTACCGACCAGTGTCACTGACATGTAAAGTACGCTATGTCATGGAGAAGATTATCAGAAGAGTGCTGGAACACCTAGAAAAGAATAACCTTAACGACAACCAGCACGGTTTCAGTGACTGGAAATTCTGTGTCACAAACCTACTGGAGTTCTTCATTTTCTTATGTACTTATTAAATCTAATCATATTAAGAGCAAAAGGTATATTCCCTTCTGAATCCTGTAATGTGTGTATTGTGATAATAAAGTTCATGAAGAGTGAAAAATAGCAACAATAAATGTTTCATTATTTGTTGATGTGTCCATTTACCTAACAAATTGTCCGTAATTTTGCCACTATTTTTTCTTATTTAAAAATATTATCCTGAGCAAAGGCGTGAAGGCTAAAGTAATTAAAATGTTGAACAGTCTCTTTTGTGGTCTTTTCTTAAGAGAGAGGGAGAGAGAGGGAGGGAGAGAGAGAGAGAGAGAGAGAGAGAGAGAGAGAGACAGTGGAGATGTTAGGTGGAAAGGTGAAACTAATATGATATTTTTATGTTGCAACGTTTCGCTCTCCAGGAGCTTTGTCAGGGCAATGTGTATTGGGTTGCCAAAGCTCCTGGAGAGCTATTTGGAGACATTAAAAACAGAATATTTCATAAGGGAGATTAATCCATACAAAGAACTCTGTAGTGAGTATGAAAAGTGAATTAAACACTTTATTTCAAACAGAAATATAAGATGGAACAATAAAGAATTGTTTAATGGAAGGTGGTGAACAGCTGTGAAAATAAGAGTAGACCAATCAAGATAATTATTAGAGATTGATGGAGGCTATAAATTAATGCACATCATAGAAACCAAGGACCACAGGGCGACCAGCTTCCTCTTGCAGAGACTCAGTGTTGCGATCCAGAGGGTAAATGTCTGCAGCATTCTGGGCACGCGGCCCACCTCCGGGGAGCTGGACGAAGTATTCGAGATGTAGCTCTGAGTTGGTATCTATGTTGTTTTACTTCATATTGTATTTTTGTCAGTGTATTTTGTCTTTAAATAATCTATAAAATATAAGGGGGTGGTTACCTGGAGGTTATTACAGGGATCAACGCCCCCGCGGCCCGGTCCATGACCAGACCTGCCGGTGAACCAGGGCCTGATCAACCAGGCTGTTACTGCTGGCCACACGCAGTCCAACGTACGAGCCACAGCCCGGCTGATCCGGCACTGACTTTAGGTATCTGTCCAGCTCTTTCTTGAAGGCAGCCAGAAGTTTATTGGTAATTCCCCTTATGTTTAGTGGGAGGCTGTTGAACAGTCTTGTCCCCCGGACACTTGGGGTGTTTTCTCTTAGTGTACCAATGGCGCCCCTACTTTTAATTGGGGGCATTTTGCATTGCCTGCCCAGTCTTTTACTTTCGTAAGGAGTGATTTCTGTGTGCAGATTTGAGAACATTCCTTCCAGGATTTTCCAAGTGTATATTTTGATATATCTCTCCCTCCTACGTTCCAACGAGTACAAGTCAAGTGCTTCCAAGTGTTCCCAGTAGTTAAAGTGCTTGACAGAACTTATACGCGCAGTAAAGGTTCACTGTACACTCTCTAGATCTGCAATTTCACCTGCTTTGAATGGAGATGTTAATGTAATGTACAGCAGTATTCCAGCCTAGAGAGAACAAGTGATTTGAAAAGGATAATCATTGGCTTGGCATCTCTGGTTTTAAACGTTCTCATTATCCATCCTCTCATTTTCTTTGCACTTGTGATCGTGGCACTGTTGTGATCCTTGAAAGTGAGATCCTCAGACATTACTACTCCCAGGTCCCTTACATTATTTCTCGGCTCTATTGTATGGCCAGAGTTTGTAGTATGCTCTGTTCTAGGTAGGAGAAAACAATTTTCAAACAGCTTCAGGGGGAACCTTGAGTTTCCCCTGAAACAACTTTATTCTTTTCTATGAGGATGAGGGCCCCCAGAACAGTTCTAGAGGTGGTACCTCCCTATATTATATATATATATATATATATATATATATATATATATATATATATATATGTCGTGCCGAATATGTAAAACTGGTCAATTAGCAAGAACTCATTTAAAATTAAGTCCTTTCTGAAATTTTCTTTTATAAGTTTAAAGATATATATTTTTCATTAATGTAAATGTAAAAAAATTACATTTTGCACCAAAAGAACCTTAGAAAACTTACCTAACCTTATTATAACAAGAACAATTTATTTTAGCCATAACCCAACTAAATATATTTTAGATTTGTTTACAATAATTTAATACTAAACAAACACAGTGAAACATATTTTTTCTGTTAGGTTCAGAATGATTTTGGCGAAATTATTGCATACACAAATTTTATTGTCCCTGTATAGGCAAATTAACTTCAGATTTAAGCCAGATACAAGTTCTGATGTCGGCCTCGACATATATATATATATATATATATATATATATATATATATATATATATATATATATATATATATATATATATATATATATATATAATGATTTATTCAGATGAATATAAATTTATATGAATATAATTACAGATAATGCAAGTATCTTATGTAAATTAATAATGAAAATGACTGTAAATCTTTACAAGAGGATGATCGACACCATGCCCAGCCCTTCTAGGGCAGGGTAGGTGCCTGAGCCAGAGCTTGCAGCTCACAAAATTGCCATTCCCATTAGCCCCCTTAGGGCGGTGATGGCAGACAAGAGAGGCCTAGCTTCTCCCTACGAGCCCCGTGAGGGCGGGGAATGTGGCTAGGCCTGGGGACAGTTGGTCCCAAAGATGAAGGGGTACTTGTGCCTCCTCCCATGGGAGACTTAGGTCTCAGACACTCCCTAGAGAGGGAGCAAAGACCGGGCCACCACTCCTAAAAGGACATGGAGTGATAGATGGATGATGAAATATAATGTAGATAAATGCCAAGTAACAGAAATGCGAGAAAGTGAAATCAGGTCACATGAAGAAACTAAACTGTGACAAAATATTGAAAGTATCAGGAAAATAAAGACATCTAGGAGTTATTTAAAAAAATTACCGGAAGTGCATATTAATAAAACATAATAATGTTATATATTACACTGGTAAACAATAAAATTATATAGTTGGTGAAATGTTAAGAAAGTTATTTATAACTTATATTAGGCCAAAATTAGAATATACAGCAATTTTGTGACGTCTCATCTGGAGGAAAACTCATTGATATGTTAGAAAATGTTGAGTGAAAAACTATAAAATGGCTGCCAGAGTTGAGCAATATGATCCATGACAAAAGTTTGTAAGCATTAATGATGCCCATGATGGCTGACTGGAGGCGAAGAGGAGGCAGGATAACCAAACATAAGGTATGGAAAGGAATTTGGAAGAGTTGATAAAGATTTCTTAGCACCTGCAACAGGATAACATGAAGCCACAGTTGTAAAGTGATGAAAAAATGGAGTCCAATGAATTAAAGGAGAAATTAGCAAAGTGTTGCAAGCTGTAAAATAAAGTATTGAAGACAGGATACCACTAGCATAGCTCGACCCCGGTAGTTACCAGTAGGTAATCACACACATACACACACACACACACACACACACACACACACACACACACACACACACACACACACACACACACACACACACACACACTCAAATACAACAGGCCTAGTGTCTAATCGACATGTGCCTAGGACAAAATGGTAACTAACTAACACACACACACACACACACACATACACACACACACACACCCACACACACACTCGCAAATACTACAGGCCTAGTGTCTAATCGACATGTGCTTAGGACAAAATGGTAACTAACACACACACACATACACACACACACACACACACCACACACACACACACACACACACACACACACACACACACACACACACACACACACACACACACTATGGCTTTTGACACAAAACAAGCTAAATCAATTATTAGTAAAGAGATAGGATGAGGCACTAGTCGGTTTATAGCACAGGCTTTCCTCACCCCCATCTTCAGTTGGACTTACTGGGTCTGGTATGAAGGTTTGGCCAGAATCTCCACTCAATCTGTTGAAGGCTTGGGCAACCCCAACTTTAGTCTCGTCTGTGGGCGTGATCTCATCATAAGGTTGGTGTGTAGGTGTGGTGGTGGGTGTCAGTTCTGAGAGCTTACTGTCTGACGGCACGGAGTACATATTAGCCACAGGAGGGCCAGGGACATCAGTCAGGGCCAGAGGCTTCTCTGGTACTGGTGACCCTGAGGGAGAAAAATACATATTAGCCTCAGGGGGACCAGGAACATTTTGCCAGGACCACTGGTTTTCCTGGTACTGAGGAAGTGACGTAAGTATCATCAACAAGGGCCTGTAGTTTCTGGCATTGATTATCCTTTGAAAACCTTATGATTTCTATTATTTTATTAACAAAAAAATAAAGATATTTGGTTAATTCAATATTGATAAATTGGGCAACTTTTGTGGTAGATAAATGAGCTTATTTTACGGCCTCTGTACAAGAGAAAATAATAATAATAATAATAATAATAATAATAATAATAATAATAATAATAATAATAATAATAATAATAATAATAATAATAATAAAAATAATAATAATAATACTAATAATAATAATAAATGATACTAAGATGTATTTCGGTAGTTGCATTATCTGAGTAAAGGATAAGATAAGATTTCGTTCGGATTTTTAACCCCGGAGGGTTAGCCACCCAGGATAACCCAAGAAAGTCAGTGCGTCATCGAGGACTGTCTAACTTATTTCCATTGTGGTCCTTAATCTTGTCCCCCAGGATGCGACCCACACCAGTCGACTAACACCCAGGTACCTATTTGCTGCTAGGTGAACAGGACAATAGGTGTAAGGAAACGTGTCGGAATTTCCACCCGCCGGGAATCGAACCCGGGCCCTCCGTGTGTGAAGCGGGAGCTTTAACCACCAGACCACCGGGCCACATATTTTGCATATTCCCAGGTCCTTGTACGTTAATGCAAGCGAAAACAATCATTCAGAGGACGGCCTGACTTCCTATTACAGGTCAGTATTTGAGTTCAAGATCCAAAACTGAATCATATCTGTTATTCAAACAAGAAACACCAGGTTTGTAGCCAATTTGAGAAGACATTCTCTTTATACTTTAGAGACACCAATATCTTAAAATACAAGTGCACATTAAATTTGAAGCCGCGCAGGGTTTGTATTATGAAATTACCTGAGTTGTCGCATTAAAATCAAAATTTAAATTTTTTTTCACTTCCATCCATGAAAAGCCAAACTGGAACCTGTAAAGCTAATGTTAATTAAAACTTCTTTAAGAAAGAATTACCACCTTTTAGGGCCTTTGTAAGTTGCATGTAATTAAACAAGCTTTATTAAATGAAAATTATGTAAATTAAACCTAAAATAAACCAAAAAAAAAAAAAACTATGAGTTCTTTCATCAGAAACAAATTTGCTTAATAAAATTGGTAAATTTAAACTTACATAACTTAAAATTAAAGCTAAACTTTCTTTGGAGAAAATACATCAACACTAAAAGTTTACAGCCAACCAGAAGAGGCGTTCTCCAGTTCTTACACAGATCCAGCCAACTGTGGATTTACATAAGCTAAGACCAAGAAATATTTAATTTATACCGAGGAAAATAGAAAACAGTAGTTGTCACAGAGGTCTTGGGGAATGGGAAGTATTCAGATTCAATCCAGGGAATGGGAGGATAAGTCCAGTTCCTTGGATCAAGAGAGTCCCATCAGCATCAAAAATCAAATCAATACATTAAAGAGTAATACTCTGCCATTTAGAGATTAAAGTCGGCAAAATGACAACAACACAACGTTTTAATAATATCAATACACGAATAACCCGGACATAGTAGAGGGGAGCTATGGGTCCAAGTCGGACCGAAACGTAGTCATAAGCTTCCCTCTCCTATGTGAAGGTTATTTGTGTATTGTTCGAGACACAGTATTGTGCCTTTTTGTTATATAATAATATCAACCTTCTTCTGAGAAAGACACTCCAGCGGTGAGATTCTGAAACTGATCAGTTGATATACACAAACAAAATCTATCAGTGATGTATATAACATCGCCTTGAGGTCACCAAAGCATATAAAGAGTATTATAAATCTTGCCCTGGATAACGTACAGTGCTTGTCACGGCATTATGTCAGATGAGCTGCACGGCATTATGCCGTGTGAGCATAGCGACATAATGCCGTGACGAAAATCAAAGGTCTACCATACAGGGGGGGTCTATTTTCGTCATTGCATTCTGCTGGATAGCAGCCATTAGCATGATGTCACGGCCTTCCGCCACACTTCACAGTGACTTCTCATTGCTCACGTGGCTGCCGTGGTGAGAGAAAGTGTTGCACTGTTGCAGGTATGACACTTTATACATAGTGCTGAATACACGGTACTAGATACATAGTGTTACCTGGAGGTTACCTGGAGGTTATTCCGGGGATCAACGCCCCCGCGGCCCGGTCCATGACCAGGCCTCCCGATGGATCAGGGCCTGATCAACTAGGCTGTGTATACTTGATTCATGCTAAATTAAGAACTTACTAGGCCTGAGGCCTGTTTTTTTTTTTTTTTTTGGGGGGGGGGAGCTTAACACACTTGAAATAAAAATAATTAAATAAATTCATTGCTTTATTTTTATTTATTTGTAATAAAACAAGTTATGCAGATATCTGCATTTATGTATATCACAATTACATTAACGACTTTATTCGGAGATATTTTACTGAGATACTTTACTCTGAGATGCTTTATTCCGAAATACTTTATTGTGATACTTCATTCCGAGATACTTTGTTGTGTTACTTTATTCTGATATTCTTTATTCACTGATACTTTATTCTCAGATACTATATTCTCAGATACTTTATTCTCAGATACTTTATAGTGTCTATAAAGAGAACCGTCTGAATTGTTATGGACATATTAACGATGAACCTCGGGTTTTAGGTCCGAGTCCCTTCATTAACAAAACCCAGAGGTTCCAGACCGTAGTGTACATGATACATGTTTAACCAGAGGTCCCAGACCGTGCAGTACATGATACATGTTTAACCAGAGGTCCCAGACGGTTCTGTGCATAATACATGTATAGCCAGAAGATCCACAATGTGCCGTACATGATACATGTATAGCTAGAGGCTCCAGGCCTGGTAATGGACCGGGCCGCGGTCCATTACCAGGCCATTACCCTCCAGTTATACACCGTACTATACGACACCAAGTATATTAAAGCACTGTACAACATATAACGATGATAGATACAAGGTAAGAAGAGGTACAGCTTCTGGTCGTCATGGAAATGATACAACGTAAGAAGAGGTACAGCTTGTGGTCGTCGTAGAAATGATACAACGTAAGAAGAGGTACAGCTTCTGGTCGTCATGGAAATGATACAACATAAGAAGAGGTACAGCTTCTGGTCGTCATGGAAATGATACAACATAAGAAGAGGTACAGCTTCTGGTCGTCATGGAAATGATACAACGTAAGAAGAGGTACAGCTTCTGGTCGTCATGGAAATAATTACACCGACAAATTACTAAGTACAATGAGTGAAAATTGATGCAAGGATAGGAAAACAAACACTGACACACAGATTCCATATTAAATATTTATAAGAAATACGAATTAGACGTTGTGTTCAGTGTGATACAGTTGTGGAAGAAAGGCAGTGTTCTGTTGGGTAATGATACATCACAGGGAACTGAAAACACCAAGGACATTCACGATACATAATCGATGGAGCGTAACACAGCATGGAACCTGGATGAAGTCTGCGACAGAGATAATGCAACAGAACTCTAATTGTGACCTGGCGATGTGACACATGTGACCTGGTGATATTACACATGTGACCTGGTGATATGTAATATGTGACCTCGTGATATAAGACATGTGATCTGGATGACAGATTTTATTACGAAGAGTTCTATTGTTGTATTTAAATACGTGGTGGTGTACACAGCTGATTTAGATTTCATGACAGTTTCAAGTGAGTTATTTGATTTAGTAATTATGAAATAGTATACTATTATTGTTATTATTATTATTATTATTATTATTATTATTATTATTATTATTATTATTATTATTATTATCATTGTTATTATTATTATTATTATTATTATTATTATTATTAGTAGTAGTAGTAGTAGTAGTAGTAGTAGTAGTAGTAGTAGTAATAGTAATAGTAGTAGTAGTAGTAGTAGTAGTATTGTAATTATTATTATTACTATTATTACTATTATTATCACGACAAAAGATATCTAAACGTATGTGAGATTCTCAGATCTAATTATTTCTATGTGTTCGCCCAAGAGAAAGAAACAAACACTGTAAGCTTAGTTATCCAGATTTTTTTCAAACAATCATGGCTAGGTAAGACAAACTAAAATATTTTTAAATCTACCAGTTCAAACAAAAAGAAGACAACAGAGCAGTAAAATAAGTCATATTCTTCTACCATGGGATTTAAAAATCACTCAGCTCTCGTTGTCATGCAAAAATAAATGTAGCCGTATTTTTTTTAACTAACCACAAATTAACGAGTTTCAAGTGAGACACAAGAAATTTAGCCAAGTCCCTTGCAACATTTGGAATTTAGTGTACATATATAAATTCGGTCTTGGATAACAGAAGAGTGAACTCGAATATGCTTATAAGAGTTTTGTACTGCTACGACATTGTATTTAGGCACTGGGAAGGTGCTAATATCCTCAGCATAACTGAGAAGGCAGTGGAAGGAAAAAACATTGAAGAAACATTAACTGAGGCAAAACGAAAAGTAATATTTTCAAACGAAATTTGCGACCAGAAGCCTAAATATGCTCTAAATATGCTAAATATGCTCTAAATATACTAAATATGCTTTAAATATGCTCTACTTATGCTAAATACGCTCAAAATATGCATTATAGCCCAGATACCCTGACAACCACGTTTCGCTAAGGAGAACAATCCATGAGATGATGACTCAGACACATTAAAACGCAGAACCACCATGGCAACAACACTATGGCACCAACACCATGGCAACTTCCTTCAAATGGTATCCTCTGCCATCTGTGTTTCTAACTTTTTGCCCATATCTTGGGCATGACTTATTTTTAGAAGTGGGTTCCTCCCACCGGCGACGGTGCCTTCAGCTACTGCATCTAACTCTCTCCTGTTTCATCACCCTCAAGGCTGAGGGACTAATTACCTTATCTTTAACTACCCTTACCTAATAACGTATAGAATAGAGATGTTAAAATGTGGCGCATTTGTCTAATTTAACAACTTGTCGGTATTGTACACAATTTATATTACGTTATCAATTAGATTTCATTAAGCAAGTGATATTACAATATGCGGAACAAACACTGTGAACAAATAGTGAACTTCAAAGCGTTTTCGTGATTTCTCACATTAACAATAACTGTCCTTGATAATGTGACAGATCACGAAAGTGCTTGAAAGTTCACTAATTATTAACTGCAGTTGTTCTTCATATATGTTTTTCCGAGATTTCTTTAAAACATCTGTGATGCTCAGTAAAAACCCGGACACATTAACATCGCTAACAAGAGGTAACCAGAGAGATGTTATCAAAGACATTAGATCGCGACCAACGCTTTGGCCAATTGTCCGAACTTACCGGACAAATGTACGCTGCGTACTCAGTCCGGACTGATACATGATGTATACCGAGTCCAAAAAGAATTCGTTGTTAATATCCGTAAAGGCTATATGAATGTTTCGTATGTGAGAGAGAGAGACAAAGTAAGAGTGGGAGATAGAGAGAGAGTGCGTGTATTTAGGTATGTGTGTGAATACCTCAGTGAAATGTGGATAACTATCAAACATAAATAGTAAGAGGAAATGTAGTAAAATAAGAGAGAACTAACTGGAATGTCTACAAAGTTACGAGGCGCTATGTATGATAGTTAAGTGATGGTATTCAACACCCACTGCTAACACTACCACAACATGGAGAGTTATGCTGAGTGTAAGTACTCAACATCTACCACAACATGGGAAGTAAGGCTGAGTGTAAGTACTCAACATCTACCACAACATGGGAAGTAAGGCTGAGTGTAAGTACTCAACATCTACCACAACATGGAGAGTTATGCTGAGTGTAAGTACTCAACATCTACCACAACATGGAGAGTTATGCTGAGTGTAAGTACTCAACATCTACCACAACATGGAGAGTTATGCTGAGTGAAAGTACTCAACATCTACCACAACATGGACAGCTGATTGACAGGACTGCCAACCTTCGTGCGTACAGAAACAAAAACAAAGCTACCAACCTTTGCTAAACCTCACGGTACGACGCCCGAGGTAATCTGCAATACATCAAAATGTTAAACATCATTCTCAAGCCCAGTAGTATGTTGGCAGGCCTGTTGTTGCTAGGGGAACTAGGATGATTGTTGTTGCTAGGGGACTATGATGTCTCTTGTTGCTAGGAGGACTAAGAGGTCTATTGTTGCTAGGGAAACTAGGTCTGTTGTTACTAGAGGGACTAGGGGATCTTCTGTTGCTAGAGAGACTAGGAAGTCTGTTGTTGCTAGGGATACTGGAGGTCTGTTGTTGGTAGTGAACCTAGAACTACTGTTGATAGGAGGAATTAGGAGGCTTGTTGTAGCTAGTGTAACTAGGAGATCTGTTACAGGTAGGAAACTAGAATGCCGATTGTTGCTATTGGAACTTGGAGCGCTGATATTACTGAGGAAACTAGGAGGTCTGTTGTTGCTATGGAAACTAGGAAGAGTGTTGCTGCTAGGGAGAATTTGAAGGCCAGCTGTTGCTAGGAAAATAGTAGACCTATTGTTGCTACGGGTAATTAGGCAAACTAGGAGGGCTGTTATACAAGGGACAGTAGAAGGTGTACTGTTTCTAGGGAAACTATAAGGGCCGTTGTTAGGGAAACTATGACTCCTGTTGCTAAAGAAACCAGAAGGGCTGCTGTTAATAAGGAAACTAGGAGGGCTCTGTTGCTAGGGAAAGCTAGAAGGGCTCTTGTTACTAAGTAAACAAAGACTAGTTATGTCGCTAGGGGAAGTGGGAGAACAGTTGCTGTTAGTGGGAACTAACATGGCTGTTAATGCTATTGGAAACAGGAGAGCTGTTGTTGCCAATCAGAAGTTAGGAATACTATTGTTGTTAGAAAGAAAGGGAAAATTCCGCTAAGGGTGTTGTAAGGGCTGTTACTGGTAAGGAAACAGGAGAGAGATTATGGCTGGGAGGGAAGAGTTATGAAGGCTCCTGCTGCTTGTGAATGGGAATCTGCGTGTTAGATACTAGGAGGGGAAACGAATTAGGTTTTGCTTTTAGTGGAAAATGAGATGGGCTAAGACTGGTAAAGAGAGGGGGAGGTGGGTTGGTGCTGCTCGGAGTACAAGAGAAAGGGAGAGTGTGGGGAAGGGTGGTGGGTTGGTGGTGCTAGGGAGGAAGGTGGGCTAGTGTTGATGGAGGAGGTGGAGTGGGCTGGTAGTGCAAGGGAGGGAACGTGGGCTCGTGGTGCTGTGGGAGAGGTGGGCTGGTAGTGCACAGGAAGGGGAGGTAGGCTGGAGGTGCTGGGGAAGTGGAGGTGGGATGGAAGTTGTGGAGGAAGGCAGGTGGCTGATATTGCTGGTGGAGGGGACATGGGCTGGTAGTATTTGGGGAGGGGAGGTGGGCTGATAGTGCTGGGAGGAGTTGGGGTGATACTGCAGGGAGAGGGAAGGTGGGCTGAAGTAGCTGCAGGAGTTAAAATAGGCCCGTTGTGTTAGGGGAGAAGAGGTGGGCCGGTAGTGCTGTGGTTGAGACGGTGGGCTTGCGGTCTACAGGAAACGGATGGAGGTGCTGCGGGTGTGAAAGTGGGCTGACGGGATAGAGGGGAGGTGGGCTGGTAGTGAAGGGGGAGGGGAGGTGGGCTGGGGGATCAGGGCCAGGGGAGGTGGACTAGGGATCGGAGGCAGGGGAGGTGGGCTGGGGAATCAGGGTCAGGGGAGGTGGGCTAGGGGATCAGAGCCAGGGGATGTGGACTAGTGGATCAGGGCCAGGGGAGGCGGGCTAAGAGATCAGGGCCAGGGGAGGTGGGCTAAGGGATCAGGGCAGGGGTTTAAGGGAGACGGGAGTTGGGCAGGTAGTTCTCGGCCAGGGAAGGTGGGCTCCTGAATCGGGGCGAAGTGAGGTGAGCTGGGGATCAGGGCCACGGGGGGTGGGCTGGGGATCAGGGTGAGGGGAGGTGGGATAGGGGGATAAGGACCAGAGAAGGTGGGTTGGGGGATCAGGGCCAGCGGTGATGGGCTGGGGAATCAGGGCCAAAGGAGGTGGGCTGGGGGATCAGGGTCAGGGGAAGTTGGCTGGGCGATCAGCGCCAGGGAAATTGGGCTGAGAGATCAGGGTCAGGGGAGGTATGCTGGGGATCACGGCAAGAGGGGAGGGAGAGCTGGGGGATCAGAGCCAGGAGAGGTGAGTTGAGGTCAGGGTCAAGGTAGATGGGCTGAATGATCAGGGCCAAGGAGGTGGGCTGGGAGATCACAGCCAGAGGAGGGTGGCTCGGGGATAAGGGCCAGAGGAAGTGGGACAGGGGATCAGGGCTAGGGAGGTAGGCAGGGGGATCATGGACAGAGGAGATTGACTGCGAGATCAGGGCCAGGGGAGGTATGCTGGGGGATCAGAACCAGGGAGGTGAGCTGGGGAATCAGGACCAGGAGAGGTGGGCTGGGGTCAGGGCCAGAGGAAGTGGGTTGGAGATAAGGGCCAGAGAAGGTGGGCTGGGGGATGCGGGGTAGTGGATCAGGGTCAGAGGAGGTGGGCTGGGGGATCACGGCCACAGGAGGTGGGCTGGGGATCAGGGTCAGGGGAGGTGGGCTAGGGGAATAAGGGCCAGAGGAGGAGAGCTTAGGATCATCACCAATGATAAGTGGGCTAGGGTATCAGGGCGAGGGGGTGGGCTTGGTGATCAGGGCCATGGGGATAGGCAAGGGGATCAGTGCCAAGGGAGGTGGGCTTGAGGATCAGGGCCAGGGGTTGGGCTGGGGGATCAGGGTCAGACGGGTGGGCGGGGGAATCAGGGACAAGGGGAAGGCTGGAGGATCAGGCCCAGGGGAGGTGTCCTTATGGAACAGAGACAAGGGAGGTAGGCTGGAGAATCAGAGCCAGAGGAGGTGGACTGGGGTATCAGGGCCGGGGGGCTTGGGTATCAGGGCTAGGGGGGATGGAGTATCGGGCCAGGGGTTTCTGGGGTATCAGGGCCAGGGGGGTTGGGGTATCAGGACCAGGGGGGCTGGGGTATCAGGACCAGTGGGACTGGGGTAACAGGGCCAAGGGGCTGGGGTATAAGGGCCGGAAGACTGGGGTACCAGGGGAGGAAGACTAGGGTATCAGAGCCAGGGGCTGGGGTATCAAGGCGGGAGGCAGGGACATCAGGGCCAGGGGGTTGGGGTATCAGGGCCAGGGGAGCAGGGGTATTAGGGCCGAAAGGCTTGGGTATCAGGACCAGGGGGCTGGGGAATCAGGGCAGGGGGCTGGGGTATCAGACCCAGGGTGGCTGCGGTATCAGGGCCAGGGGGGTGGGGTATCAGGGCCACGGGGGCTGGGGTTTCAGGGCCCGGGGGGCTGAGGTATCATGGCCAGGAAAGGGTTTGGGGTATCAGGGCCAGGGGGGTGGGGTATCAGGGCCGGGGGGCTGTTGTATCAGGGCCAAGTGAGCTGTTGTATCAGGGCCAGGGGGGCTGGAGTATCAGGGCCAGAGGGGCTGGGGTATCAGGGCCAGGGGACTGGGTATCAGGGCCAAGGGGCTGGGTATAAGGGCGGGGCTGGGATATCGGGCCAGGGGGCTGGTGTATCAGGGCTAGGGGGCTGGGGTATCAAGGCCAGGGGCCTGGGGTATCAGAGCCAGGGGTTGGGGTATCAGGGACAGGGGGTTGGGGGATCAGGGCCAAAGGGGGGCTGTGGTATAGGTCCAGGGGGGATGGGGTATCAGGGCCAAAAAGGACTGGGGTGTCAGGGCCAGGGGTGTGGGGTATCAAGACCAGGGGGCTGGGGGGACAAGGGCCAGGGAGGCAGGGGTATCAGGGCCAGGGGGGGCTTGAGTATAAGGGCCAAAGGGGGCTGAGCTATCAGGGCCAGGGGGTGTGGTATCAGGGCCAGGGGGCCTTGAGTATCAGGGCCAGGGAGCCTGTGGTATCAGGGCCAGGGGGCTGGGGTATCAGAGCCAGGGGGGGTTGGAGAATCAGGGCTAGGGAAGCTGCGGTATCAGAGCCAAAGGGGGCTGGGGTATCAGGGCCAATGAGAGCTGGGGTATCAGGGTCAGGGGGGCTGGGGTATTAGGGCCAATGAGGGCTGGGGTATCAGGGTCAGGGGGGCTGGAGCATCAACTCAAAGGGGGCTGGGGTATTATGGCCTGGGGGCTGGGGTATCAGGGCCATAGGGGGTTGGGGCATCAGGGCCAAGGAGGCTGGGGTATAGGGCCTAAGGGGACTGGAGTATCAGGGCCAGGGGGCTGGGATATCAGGGCCAGGGGGACTGGAGTATGAGGCCCAGGGGGGCTGGGGTATCAGGACCAGGAGGACTGGGGCTTCAGGGCCAGGGGGATGGGGTATCATGGTCGGAAGGCTGGGTTATCAGGGCCAGAGGGGCTAGGGTATCAGGGCCAGGGGGCTGGGGTATCAGGGCCAGGGAGGCTGGGGTATCAGGGCCAGGGGGGCTGGGGTATAGCGGCCAGGAGAGGTTGGCTGGGGTATCAGAGACGGGAGGCTAGGGTATTAGGGCCAAAGAGTTGGGGAATCAGGGCCAGGGGGCTGGGGTATAGCGGCCAGGGGAGGTTGGCTGGGGTATCAGAGCCAGGGGAGCTAGAGTATCAGGGCCAGGAGGGCTGGGGCATCAGGGCAAGGGAGGCTGGGGTATAAGGGCCAAGGGGACTGGAGTATGAGGCCCAGGGGGGCTGTGGTATCAGGACCAGGGGGACTGGGGTTTCAGGGCCAGGGGGATGGGGTATCAGGGTCGGAAGGCTGGGTTATCAGGGCCAGAGGGGCTGGGGTATCAGGGCCAGGGGGCTGGGGTATCAGGGCCAGGGAGGCTGGGGTATCAGGGTCAGGGGGGCTGGGATATCAGGGCCAGAGAGCTGGGGTATCAGAGACGGGAGGCTAGGGTATTAGGGCCAAAGGGTTGGGGAATCAGGGCCAGGGGGCTGGGGTATTAGGGCTTAGAGGCTTGGGTATCAGGCCAGGGGCTGGGGAATCAGGGCCAGGGGGGCTGGGGTATCAGGGCCAGGAAGGCTGGGGTATCAGGGTCAGAAAGGCTGGGGAATCAGGGCAGGGGCGCTGGGGTATGATAGCCAGGGAGGTTGGGGTATCATGGCCAGGAAGGCTGTTGTATCAAGGCCAGGGGGCCGGAGTATCAGGGCCAGAGGGGCAGGAATATCAGGGGCAGGGGCTGGGGTATCAGGGCTAGGGGGGCTGTTGTATCAAGGCCAGGGGGCCGGAGTATCAGGGCCAGAGGGGCAGGGATATCAGAGCCAGGGGGCTGGGGTATCAGGGCCAGGGGGTGAGGTATCAGGGCCAGGGGGGTGAGGTATCAGGGCCAGGGTGGTGAGGTATCAGGGCCAGGGGGGTGAGGTATCAGGGCCAGGGGGGTGAGGTATCAGGGCCAGGGGGTGAGGTATAAGGGCCAGGGGGGAGGTATCAGGGCCAGGGGGAGGTATCAGGGCCAGGGGGGGTGAGGTATCAGGGCCAGGGGGGAGGTATCAGGCCAAGGGGGTGAGGTATCAGGGCCAGGGGGGGAGGTATCAAGGCAAGGGGGGAGGTATCAAGGCCAGGGGGGGAGGTATCAGGGCCAAGGGGGGAGGTATCAAGGCTAGGGGGGAGGTATCAGAGGAAGCCAGGGGGAGGTATCAAGGCCAGGGGGAGGTATCAGGGCCAGGGGGGAGTATCAAGGCCAGGGGGGAGGTATCAAGGCCAGGGGGGAGGTATCAAGGCCAGGGGGGAGGTATCAGGGTCAGGGGGGAGGTATCAGGGCCAGGGGGGAGGTATGAGGGCCAGGGGGGCTGAGGTATCAGGGCCATGAGGGTGAGGTATCAAGGCCTGGGGGTGAGGTATCAGGGCCAGGGGGGGTGAGGTATCAGTGCAAGGGGGGCTGAGGTATCAGGGCCAGGGAGTGAGGTATCAGGGCCAGGGGGGAGGTATCAGGGCCAGGGGGGTGAGGTATCAGGGCCAGGGGGTGAGGTATCAGGGCCAGGGGGGTGAGGTATCAGGGCCAGGGGGGTGAGGTATCAGGGCCAGGGGGGTGAGGTATCAGGGCCAGGGGGTGAGGTATCAGGGCCAGGGGGGTGAGGTATCAGGGCCAGGGGGTGAGTATCAGAGCCAGGGGGGAGGTATCAGGGCCAGGGGGGGTGGTATCAGGGCCAGGGGGGGAGGTATCAGGGCCAGGGGGGAGGTATCAAGGCCAGGGGGGAGGTATCAGGGCCAGGGGGTGAGGTATCAGGGCCAGGGGGTGAGGTATCAGGGCCAGGGGGGTGAGGTATCAGGGCCAGGGTGGTGAGGTATCAGGGCCAGGGGGTGAGTATCAGGGCCAGGGGGGTGAGGTATCAGGGCCAGGGGTGAGGTATCAGGGCCAGGGGGGGAGGTATCAGGGCCAGGGGGGAGGTATCAGGGCCAGGGGGGTGAGGTATCAGGGCCAGGGGGGGAGGTATCAGGGCCAGGGGGGTGAGTATCAGGGCCAGGGGGGGAGGTATCAAGGCCAGGGGGGAGGTATCAAGGCCAGCGGGGAGGTATCAGGGCCAAGGGGGGAGGTATCAAGGTTAGGGGGGAGGTATCAAGGCCAGCGGGAGGTATCAGGGCCAGGGGGGAGGTATCAGGGCCAGGGGGGGAGGTATCAAGGCCAGGGGGGAGGTATCAAGGCCAGGGGAGGTATCAAGGCCAGGGGGGGAGGTATCAAGGCCAGGGGGGAGGTATCAAGCCAGGGGGGAGGTATCAAGGCCAGCGGGGAGGTATCAGGGCCAAGGGGGAGGTATCAAGGCTAGGGGGGAGGTATCATGGCCAGCGGGAGGTATCAGGGCCAGGGGGGAGGTATCAGGGCCAGGGGGGGAGGTATCAAGGCCAGGGGGAGGTATCAAGGCCAGGGGGGAGGTATCAAGGCCAGGGGGAGGTATCAAGGCCAGGGGGAGGTATCAGGCCAGGGGGGGAGGTATCAAGGCCAGGGGGGAGGTATCAAGGCCAGGGGGAGGTATCAGGGCCAGGGGGGGAGGTATCAAGGCCAGGGGGGAGGTATCAAGGCCAGGGGGAGGTATCAAGGCCAGGGGGAGGTATCAGGGCCAGGGGGGGAGGTATCAAGGCCAGGGGGGAGGTATCAAGGCCAGGGGGGAGGTATCAAGGCCAGGGGGAGGTATCAGGGCCAGGGAGGGAGGTATCACGGCCAGGGGGAGGTATCAAGGCCAGGGGGAGGTATCAAGGCCAGGGGGGAGGTATCAAGGCCAGGGGGAGGTATCAAGGCCAGGGGGGAGGTATCAGAGCCAGGGGGGAGGTATCAGAGCCAGGGGGGGGAGGTATCAGGGCCAGGGGGGAGGTATCAGGGCCAGGGGGGAGGTATCAGGCCAGGGGGGGTGAGGTATCAGGGCCAGGGGGGAGGTATCAGGGCCAGGGGGGGTGAGGTATCAGGGCAAGGGGGGTGAGGTATCAGGGCCAGGGGGGTGAGGTATCAGGGCCAGGGGGAGGTATCAGTGCCAGGGGGGAGGTATCAGGCGCCAGGGGGGAGGTATCAGGGCCAGGGGGGAGGTATCAGGGCCAGAGGGGGAGGTATCAGGGCCAGGGGGGAGGTATCAGGGCCAGGGGTGGAGGTATCAGGGCCAGGGGGGTGAGGTATCAGGGCCAGAGGGGGGAGGTATCAGGGCCAGGGGGTGAGGTATCAGGGCCAGGGGGGAGGTATCAGGGCCAGGGGGTGAGGTATCAGGGCCAGGGGGGGAGGTACAGGGCCAGGGGGGAGGTATCAGGGCCAGGGGGGTGAGTATCAGGGCCAGGGGGGGAGGTATCAGGGCCAGGGGGGAGGTATCAGGGCCAGGGGGGCGAGTATCAGGGCCAGGGGGGAGGTATCAGGGCCAGGGGGAGGTACAGGGCCAGGGTATCAGGGCCAGGGGGGGAGGTATCAGGGCCAGGGGGGAGGTATCAGGGCCAGGGGGGAGGTATCAGGGCCAGGGGGGGAGGTATCAGGGCCAGGGGGGGAGGTATCAGGGCCAGGGGGGGAGGTATCAGGGCCCAGGGGGGAGGTATCAGGGCCAGGGGGGAGGTATCAGGGCCAGGGGGGAGGTATCAGGGCCAGGGGGGGAGGTATCAGGGCCAGGGGGGGAGGTATCAGGGCCAGGGGGGGAGGTATCAGGGCCAGGGGGGAGGTATCAGGGCCATGGGGGAGGTATCAGGGCCAGGGGGGGAGGTATCAGGCCCGTGGGTGAGGTATCAGGGCCAGGGGGGAGGTATCAGGGCCAGGGGGGAGGTATCAGGGCCAGGGGGGGAGGTATCAGGGCCAGGGGGGGAGGTATCAGGGCCAGGGGGGTGAGGTATCAGGCGCAGGGGGGAGGTATCAGGGCCAGGGGGTGAGGTATCAGGGCCAGGGGGGAGGTATCAGGGCCAGGGGGTGAGGTATCATGGGCCAGGGGGGAGGTATCAGGGCCAGGGGGGAGGTATCAGGGCCAGGGGGGGGGGGAGGTATCAGGCCAGGGGGTGAGTATCAGGGCCAGGGGGGAGAGTATCAGGGCCAGGGGGTGAGGTATCAGGGCCAGGGGTGAGGTATCAGGGCCAGGGGGGAGGTATCAGGGCCAGGGGGGAGGTATCAGGGCCAGGGGGGAGGTATCAGGGCCAGGGGGAGGGGGGGATGGTGCTTGAGATTTTAATTTTTAAACACAATATTCGTTTTTAATTGTAAATGATATAATTTATTATATTTATTATAAATAATATATTTAATCAACGCAAAATAAGAGGTTCATTATTATTAATCTCAGAAATAATTGTTAATAAAAAATAATGTTTAAATATTTTAAGTTCATATTATTTGATTTTGTTTAATTTATATTAGTCACTCATTAAAAATTTATTTAATTATTCACAAATGTATTTTTTCAGTTTTATAATAAATATGAATGAGAGAAATAATTGTTAGAGCAGGAAGATTGACTCACCATAAACACTGCCACGTAAGCGTTGGCTCCGTTCTTGTTAACCAGTGGTTGTAATAAATTATTATTACACATCGGTTATAAGATGTAGAAGTAATCCACGTGTTAGTTACATTTATCAGTATAAAACTTAACAAAAAATCTAGATTGAAAACACAGGAGAGGAAGCTTGGATTATTTTTAAGGAAATGAAGATTCTTGAAGGTGAGAGAAAACAGACATTTAATGAAAAAATAAAATAAATTACTTAATATATGGAATTCTATAAGAATTTGCAAAATTTCTGGATTCCTGTTAGCGAGATCATCTATAATCTTCTGTGTTCTTATAATCATGTAGGAAATATAACGAAGTCGAGAAATATTACCTAACATTTAATATTTAACTTTTATAAATGTTTCTATAATATTCATCGTTCAGAAACAACTTGGATGTTTAAAGAAAAGAGCTGAGAAAAGTATCTATTGGGCTCTATACAAGATGTTTTTGATGAAGTGATAATGAGAAGTGATTAATAGACAAAATTATGATGAGTCAGTGGCTCTGGTGGGATACCACAAGGATCAGTGTGTCCTCCTACACTGTGGCTGTGGTGGGATACCACAAGGATCAGTGTGTTCTCCTACACTGTGGCTGTGGTGGGATACCACAAGGATCAGTGTGTCCTCCTACACTGTGGCTGTGGTGGGATACCACAAGGATCAGTGTGTCCTCCTACACTGTGGCTCTGGTGGGATACCACAAGGATCAGTGTGTCCTCCTACACTGTGGCTCTGGTGGGATACCACAAGGATCAGTGTGTCCTCCTACACTGTGGCTGTGGTGGGATACCACAAGGATCAGTGTGTCTTCCTACACTGTGGCTGTGGTGGGATACCACAAGGATCAGTGTGTCTTCCTACACTGTGGCTGTGGTGGGATACCACAAGGGTCAGTGTGTCCTCCTACACTGTGGCTGTGGTGAGATACCACAAGGATCAGTGTGTCCTCCTACACTGTGGCTGTGGTGGGATACCACAAGGATCAGTGTGTCCTCCTACACTGTGACTGTGGTGGTATACCACAAGGATCATTGTGCCCTCCTACACTGTGGCTGTGGTGGGATACCACAAGGATCAGTGTGTCCTCCTACACTGTGGCGGTGGTGGGATACCACAAGGATCAGTGTGTCCTCCTACACTGTGGCTGTGGTGGGATACCACAAGGATCAGTGTGTCCTCCTACACTGTGGCTGTGGTGGGATACCACAAGGATCAGTGTGTCCTCCTACACTGTGGCTGTGGTGGGATACCACAAGGATCAGTGTGTCCTCCTACACTGTGGCTGTGGTGGGATACCACAAGGATCAGTGTGTCTTTATACACTGTGGCTGTGGTGGGATACCACAAGAATCAGTGTGTGCTCCTGCACTGTGGCAGTGGAGGGATATCACAAGGCTCAGTGTGTACACTGTGGCGGTGGTGGGATACCACAAGGATCAGTGTGTCATCCTACACTGTGGCAGTGGTGGGATACCATAAGGATCAGTGTGTCCTCCTACACTGTGGCAGTGGTGGGATGCCACAAGTATCAGTGTGTCCTCCTACACTGTGGCAGTAGTGGGATACCACAAGGATCAGTATGTACACTGTGGCAGTGGTGGGATACCACAAGGATCAATGTATCCTCCTACACTGTGGCAGTATTGGGATACCACAAGGAACAGTGTGTACACTGTGGCAGTGGTGGGATACCACAAGGATCATTGTGTACACTGTGGCAGTGGTGGGATACCACAAGGATCAGTGTGTACACTGTGGCGGTGGTGGGATACCACAAGGATCAGTGTGTCATCCTACACTGTGGCAGTGGTGGGATACCATAAGGATCAGTGTGTCCTCCTACACTGTGGCAGTGGTGGGATGCCACAAGTATCAGTGTGTCCTCCTACACTGTGGCAGTAGTGGGATACCACAAGGATCAGTATGTACACTGTGGCAGTGGTGGGATACCACAAGGATCAATGTATCCTCCTACACTGTGGCAGTAGTGGGATACCACAAGGAACAGTGTGTACACTGTGGCAGTGGTGGGATACCACACAGGATCTTGTGTACACTGTGGCAGTGGTGGGATACCACAAGGATCAGTGTGTACACTGTGGCGGTGGTGGGTCCACAAGGATCAGTGTGTCATCCTACACTGTGGCAGTGGTGGGATACCATAAGGATCAGTGTGTCCTCTTACACTGTGGCAGTGGTGGGATGCCACAAGTATCAGTGTGTCCTCCTACACTGTGGCAGTAGTGGGATACCACAAGGATCAGTATGTACACTGTGGCAGTGGTGGGATACCACAAGGATCAATGTATCCTCCTACACTGTGGCAGTAGTGGGATACCACAAGGAACAGTGTGTACACTGTGGCAGTGGTGGGATACCACAAGGATCATTGTGTACACTGTGGCAGTGGTGGGATACCACAAGGATCAGTGTGTACACTGTGGCAGTGGTGGGATACCACAAGGATCAGTGTGCCCGCCTACACTGTGGCAGTGGTGGGATACCACAAGGATCAATGTATCCTCCTACACTGTGGCAGTAGTGGGATACCACAAGGAACAGTTTGTACACTGTGGCAGTGGTGGGATAGACAAGGATCATTATGTACACTGTGGCAGTGGTGGGATACCACAAGGATCAGTGTGTACACTGTGGCAGTGGTGGGATACCACAAGGGTCAGTGTGCCCGCCTACACTGTGGCAGTAGTGGGATACCACAAGGATCAGTATGTCCTCCTACACTGTGGCAGTAGAGGGATACCACAAGGATAAGTGTGTCCTCCTACACTGTGGCAGTGGTGGGATACCACAAGGATCAGTGTGTCCTCCTACACTGTGGCAGTGGAGGGATACCAATAGGATCAGTGTGTCCTCCTACACTGTCTAAGTAGTGGGATACCACAAGGATCAGTGTGTCCTCCTACACTGTGGCAGTAGTGGGATACCACAAGGATCAGTGTGTACACTGTGGCAGTGGTGGGATGCCACAATGATCAGTGTGTACGCTGTGGCAGTGGTGGGATACCACAAGGATCAGTGTGTCCTCCTACACTGTGGCAGTATTGGGATACCACAAGGATCAGTGTGTCCTCCTACACTGTGGCTGTGGTGGGATACCACAAGGATCAGTGTGTCCTCCTACACTGTGGCTGTGGTGGGATACCACAAGGATCAGTGTGTCCTCCTACACCGTGGCTGTGGTGGGATACCACAAGGATCAGTGTGTCCTCCTACACTGTGGCTGTGGTGGGATACCACAAGGATCAGTGTGTCCTCCTACACTGTGGCTGTGGTGGGATACCACAAGGATCAGTTTGTCCTCCTACACTGTGGCAGTGGTGGGATACCACAAGGATCAGTGTGTCCTCCTACACTGTGGCTGTGGTGGGATACCACAAGGATCAGTGTGTCCTCCTACACTGTGGCTGTGGTGGGATACCACAAGGATCAGTGTGTCCTCCTACACTGTGGCTGTGGTGGGATACCACAAGGATCAGTGTGTCCTCCTACACTGTTCTAGTATGTTTAATAAGAAGGAAAGAAGGAAATTAATAATGAAAAAATACGTATATAAGGATGGAAAAACATAGTCTCGATATACAAGAGAAAAAGATGAGTGAAAGTTGAGACTGAAAGTAACATGAGCAGAAGCTGAATGAATGAAGATTGATTTCAATGTGATGAGTAGCGGAAACTAAAAGATTAAATCCTTGGAGCAATCGGAAAAAAAAATAGAGTAATTTGATATGATGAAGCACATGTTGGGTTGGTAAATCTTGTCAGAGTTTGTGGGTAAATGGAGAGAAACATTGTAAATAATTACTTCCCAGTGAATGTTAGGCACAAACCAAAATGTGAGTCTGCAGAGTAAATCCTGTATTTATGCAAAACTGTGAAACAAAGTTTATTAGTTTCAAGTTTAAACGGAAAGGTTAACAGAGCTTTGAGTTATGAGTAACACACAGATGTACACTCACACACACATATGCTTACTCTCTCTCTCTCTCATACACATGAATGTTTATTCTCTTTCTTTCTCTTTCACACATACACACATGTTTACTTTCTCTCTCTCTCTCTCTCTCTCTCTCACACACACACACACACACACACATGTATGCTTACACACTCTCTCTCTCTCTCTCTCTCTCTCTCTCTCTCTCTCTCTCTCTCTCTCTCTCTCTCTCTCTCTCTCTCTCTCTCTCTCACACACACACACACACACACACACACACACACACATGTATGCTTACACTCTCTCTCTCTCTCTCTCTCACACACACACACACACAGAAAGACGGAGAAAGACGGAGAGGTGGGGCACACCACCAAGTGCTGGACACAGTACACAACCGAGGAAGAAGTGAAGAGGCTTCTGAGTGAGCTAGATACCTCAAAGGCAAAGGGGCTGGATAACATCTCTCCATGGATCCTGAGAGAGAGAGCAGAGGCGCTATGTGTACCCCTAACAGCAATATTCAATACATCTATGGAAACAGGAAGATTCCTGAGGCATGGAAGACAGCAAATGTAGTCCCAGTCTTTAAAAAAGGAGACAGACATGAAGCACTAAACTACAGACCAGTGTCACTGACATGTATAGTATGCAAAGTCATGGAGAAGATTACCAGGAGAAGAGTGGTGGAACACCTAGAAAGGAATGATCTCATCAACAGCAGCCAACATGGTTTCAGGGACGGGAAATCCTGTGTCACAAACCTACTGGAGTTCTATGATATGGTGACAGCAGTAAGGCAAGGGAGAGAGAGTGGTGGTTGGATTGCATTTTCTTGAACTGCAAGAAGGTGTTTGACACAGTTCCACACAAGAGATTAGTGCAAAAACTGGACGACCAAGCAGGGGTAACAGGGAAGTCACTAAAATGGATAAGGAAATACTTGTCAGGAAGACAGCAGCGAGTCATGGTACGTGGCGAGGTGTCGGAGTGGGCATCTGTGACCAGCGGGGTCCCACAGGGGTCAGTCCTAGGACCAG